TCTTTACCTATAGGTAATTTGATGATCATGGTGTTCTTTGTCATGATACTGAAGGCCAGCATCAGGGGTGGTTTTATTTCCTCTCATTGTTGATTTTATGTTTTTTAGGAAAAGTTTTATAGATTTGATGGCACCTAATAGCAAGAGGGTAAAAATAAAAACATCCTTAAAAAGAGAAAGGAATTGTCCATAGATGCATGAATACAATGCACAAATTCCTTTAATTTTTTTGAAGTTATTATTTTTGAGAAAGAGCAAGAGAGGGGGAGAAAGAGAATCACAGGCAGGCTCTGTAACATCAGCGTGGAGCTCGAACCCATGAACTGTGAGATCATGATCTGAACTGAAATCAAGAATCAGAAACTTGGGGCACCTGGGTGGCTCAGTTAAGCATCTGACTTCTGCTCAGGTCATGATCTCATGGTTCATGGGTTCGAGCCCCACATCGGGCTCTATGCTGCCAGCTAGCTTGGAGCCTATTTCAGATTCTGTATCTCCCTCTCTCTCTGACCCTCCCCTGCTCATGCTGTCTCTCTCTCAAAAATAAATAAAACAATTTTAAAAAATTAAAAAAAAAATCAGAAACTTAACTGACTGAGCCATCCAGGTGTCCCACACAGATTCCTTTAATGAACAATTATTAAACATCACTGGATATCAAGCAAGAGAGGAGGGATACAATGATAATCAGAACATCATTTCCTAATATGAATATGTTCCCAGGAAGACACAGGAATGTGTAATTATAACAGAATGATAACTCATGGAAGAACAGCACAGACGAAAAAGTACCCACCTTTATGACAAGCTCAGGGAAAGTTTCACAGCACTGCTTCTTGAACTGACTCTTGAAAGATAAGTAGCAAGTTGCTAAGTAAAACAAGTGGGGTAAGAATGTCTCAGGCGGAGAGAAGAAGTACACAGCACGGGGCTGAGAAAAAACACTGCACATTTAATTCATCACGTAGGAGTAGAAGCAGGTGAAACTGAATGTTCATCAGCAACGTCATGCAGGACTCTGCTAAAAGAAGTGATAAAACCTTTGAAGGAGGAAATGGGCAAGGTTCAGTTTTTTGCTTTAGAACCATCACTACATTGGAAATGAGGAAGACGGTTGAGAGGGATGCAAGACTGAAGTCAGGAAAGTAAGAAAGCTATTATGAATTTTCAGTGATAGGTACTGAAGGTCATATTCAAGGTACTGCTAATAGAAAAGATAGGAGAGACTATGGATCAGAAAAAGATTTTTGTGACAAAATTTATTGCAGTTAGTGGATGATTGGATGTGGAAGTTTCTTTAAAAAAAGGAAGACATTGATGACTTGGGAAGGCTAGAAAGAGATTATTTATTTATTTATTTATTTAAAAGTTTGGGAGAGTGCCTCCACATGCACATATGTGGGGGAGAGGGAGAGAGAGAAGGAGTAGGGGGGAGAATCCCAAGCAGGCTAGCAGGCTCCATGCTGTTAGCGCAGAGCTTGAAGCAGGGCTTGATCGTGGCCTGAGCTGAAATCAAGAGTCAGACACTTAACCAACTGAGCCACCCAGGTGCCTCTAGAGAGAGATTTAGAAGTTAGGAGTCTGACTTTCTAGGTTTCACATATTTAATGTTACTTCTACACCAAACTTAAGTTCCACCTTAAAATATTTGTAAATAGTTTTGCTGTCAATTGTGCACTTATCATTCTGTCATATTAGATTATATTTTTTAAAGAAAAAGATGGAAATACCAAGGTTGCTATAATTAGATTATCAGTCTTTAATTTTATATGCCTTCTGATCTTTTTTATCTTGCCAGTTTAAGAGCTCTCTATATTTTTTCTTTTGATATCCCCTATTTTGAGTGGCTTAATACTTAGTAGCTACCTATATAGTAAATAGCTTAGAATTTATTTATGTAAATAAATATATTTATATATAATGAATACAATGAATATAATGGTGCTATTAAAATGCTATGAAATGTAACAGCTAAGTGTCTCAGATGTCCATGAACTCACTATAAAAATGAATCACTTTATTTATTTATTTATTTTTTATGTTTTATTTATTTCTGAGAGAGAGGCAGCATGAGCAGGAGAGGGTCAGAGAGAGAGGGACATACAGAATCTGAAACAGGCTCCAGGCTATGAACTAGATGTCAGCACAGAGGCTGATGCAGGGCTTGAACCCACGACCGTGAGATCATGACCTGAGCCGAAGTCGGATGCTCAGTCAACTGAGCCATCCAGACACCCCAAAATAAATCACTTTAGATCATATGTTTGTATTTGTTTGTTCATTCTTCAAGTCTATATTCGGTTAAACGTTATCATTGTTCTTTTGATTATTTGCTGTGTCTCAGACTAAGTCTTGGAAATACAGTATTAGACCAATGCTTTCTGACAAGTCTCACAAACAATGAATATCTTCCACCTGTCACATGCTGTTTAGATGATATAGGGCTACAGATGTGTTCAAAGGCTAGTAAGTAAAACAGGTTAAGAAATATCCTAAGTGTGAATATAAGGCATATTTTTCTAAAAATAAATACTTAAAAAAGAGTTCCCTTTGTACTTGAGTCTTTATAGGGTGTCTCTTGTTATTAGGTTTCTCTCATTTTAATTGTTATGAATAGTGAGATAATTTAACATCTTAAAAGTTATTTCAACACTGTGTACATTTTTACCGAAATACACATCTAAGATATGTCTTTTGCTTTTTTACACTCTTAAGAGATGAGTTAGTTGTTAATCTGTGATTATTAAGCTTTCCAAGTCCAAAGTTCAGTAAAATAATTTCTATGATTCCATATATAATAATTGCTTATCTCAAAATTTCTCTAAATTTTAAAGAATTTTTTAATACAAATAAAGGTTTGGAGTTCTTGAAGGCTTCCTTTTTTAAATTCTCAAGAAATAAGATTGTTGACATTTGAAAGGGAGAAAAATGTAGTTCTTTAAAAATAAGGTTGTTGAAATATCCAGTTTCAACCAGTTTATGAATTCCCATAGAATTTTTAGGTTAAATCTGTAGCAATAATATCAATGTCTTAACTTAAAAAAATGATTAGTTTTGTCATTTTTAAAACATCAAGTGGAAATAGATATGGTAAATAGTAAATTCCACAAAATTAAGTATTGTTATCCTTATTAAAAGAGTCTGATGTTATGCAGTATTGCAGTAATTGCTATATTTTTCAGCAGAAAGAAAAAAGAAAAAATGAGTTCATGTATCCTCAGTATAAGGGAAGCTAACGAAGTTGTGAGTGTCAAATTAACAAGGGAAGATGATGGAATTATAATTTAATTTCAAATTTATACTGATTTGAGGAGCAGCACAAGAGAAAGCAACAGTTCAAAAATGTTTATAATTAGTGAAACAAATGAAAGATGGTATAAACATAAATCTAATTAGAAAAGATTAGGAATTTTGGAAACTGAAGAATATGAGATTCAGTAAAATAAATATTGAATATGAGAATATATTTAAATATTAGGAAATTAAGTTTATACCCTTTATGTTCTGAGTTGCCTTCCTTCTGAGCGTGCATTGAAATAATAATTTAATATTAAGCAATGTAATAGATTTATATATAGCATGCTATTAGAAGCCAAAAGTGATCACATCTATGTACCTTGGAAACTGTGGAAAGGCAGATTTAGTAACCTGAGCTCTGTATGAATTAGGAAGATTAATCTGTTTGTTTTTTTTTAATGTGGTTTTCTGAGACAGACACAACTATGTTCTCTGGCTCCTTAAGAGATTCCTTAAGGAGGACTTGGTTTAAAATAAGTCAGAGAAAGACAAATATGTAGAATTTAAGAAACACAACAGATGAACATAGGGGAAGGAAAGAGAAAATAAGATAAAAACTGAGAGGGAGGCAAACCATCAGAGACTCTTAAATACAGAAAACAAACTGAGGATTGCTGGAGGGGAGGGGGGTGAGGGGTGGTTTAAATGGGTGATAGACATTGAGGAGAGCACTTGTTGGGATGAGCACTGGGTGTTTTATGTAAGTGATGAATCACTGGATTCTGTTCCTGAAACCAGTATTACACCATATGTTAACTAACTTGAATTTACATAAAGTCTTGGAAGGAAAAAATAAAAAATTAAAATTAAAACAAAAAACAAAACGAAACAACACTTGCTTTTAAGACTTGAACATTTATGACAAGTAATGCTATAATTTTTCAAATTTTTGTACAGCAAAAGCTGACTTGCATATTTTATGGAACTTTTTTTTAAATGTTTATTTACTTTTGAGAGAAAAAGAGAGAGCAGCAGAGAAGAGAGACACACACAGAATCCGAAGTAGGCTCCAGGCTCTGAGCTCTCAGTACAGAGCCCAACACAGGGCTTGAGCTCATGAATCGTGAGGTCAAGACCTGAGCGAAAGTTGGATGCTTAACTGACTGAACCACCCAGGTGCCCTTTTATGGAATTTTTATTAAGCAGCCCTACTTAATTCCTTGGTTTGCTACCTAGATCACAATTCTATAAACATCCAGCAGAGATCCAAATTGGAGGAAGATGAAAGTTTATACATATAACCACTCTTGCGTAATGTGGTCAGAGTACCTTCTTCTATATTAGAAAGAGAAATAAAGTGAAACTCCATGCAGATTATGGATGTGATTTTGATTTGTTAATTGCTAGAAGTTACATTACAGAACATTCTACAATTCATTTCAGAACATTTAAACTCTCCTGAAACTTTGGAAGCTTTTCAAATTACCTTATTATTTCAAAATTAAAATTTAACTTACATTCAACTGGCCCCCTATTTATATGTGTTAACTCTTTTAGTCCTTGCACCACTTCTTTTGATAAGCATCGTCTTGCATTTTATGATGTGAAAACCAAAGTTCAGAAAGTTGAGTGACTCAACCAAAATGACAGGGCTAGAAAGCAGTGGAGCCAGAAGTACACATCTCGTCTGAATACAAAGTCAAGGCTTTCTGGATCATATCATTCTCCTTAACTTTGATACTATTTTTTCCCTTCTTTCACAGGAATTATTATGGAGAAAAAATTGGCATGTATTTTGTCTTTCTTGGATTTTACACAGAAATGCTGTCATTTGCGGCTGTAGTTGGCTTAGCTTGTTTCATTTACGGCTTATTATCAATGCATAATAACTCAAGCAGGTAAGTGCAACTGAATTGCCCAAACTGAGAAAACATCTTGATGTTATACTAACTGAACCTGCTGTTATTATCTCCCTGGCATTTGTTTCAGAATGTTTCCTGATGGCAGCAGATAATTGATATTTCTGATAAAAACCCAAACATAAGGGCTGCCCTCACCTGGTGCTTTACAGAAAATCTGTAAATGATCAGCTCTAAAGATTCTATTCCTCAAAGCATGACTTGACCTACTACAGAAATTGCTGCTTTGTTGCCCCTTCTGCTGTATTTAAGAAGCTGTAATTCTGTTCTGTCACCTAAAAACACATCGCTTTTAAAATCACTTTGCTGTCCCCTCTGCAGCACTGAAATCTGTGACCCTAATATTGGAGGGCAGATTATCATGTGCCCACTCTGTGATCTAGTGTGTGATTATTGGAGACTAAATACAACGTGTTTTGCTTCAAAGGTATGTATGTATTGTGGAATGATGAAAAGACTTGGAATTTCTCTCTTTTTGTATTGCATTTGATACTAAGTAGTCTTTGTGACGTTATCGTTGTTTTTGCAGATCTCCCATTTATTTGACAATGAGTCCACAGTGTTCTTTGCAATATTCATGGGAATTTGGGGTGAGTAAATAGTCACATAAAAAACAAGTCTCTCCATGTTATGTGTTATATCATCATATAACATTTACAGATGGCATACTTTATATCCCAAATATCCCCAAACTTAGGATATTTGTATGTTTGCCAGTTAGCAGCAATACATTGATGGAGACTACATCAGTGGTCTGTAGTCCTTGGTCCTTGGTCCAAAAAAGGTCTTTATTCGTCATCTGTTTATTTCTCTGAGAGACAATATAATTTTTGAAACTGTGTGTGTAATCAGCTCACACCGTTTTCCAGCATTATGGTGAAAAACCAGTTCAATAAGTACTTAATTCAGGAGAGAATACACATAAATATTGGCTGGCTGGAAAGTATTGAATTATGGATACAAAGTTGAACAAAAATCGACAACTGTTGAGGGCTATTAAATCAATATTTGAGTCTAAATTCCCTATGAATAATTCTGGTTCCAGCTTCCAGTTATATATTTTTTTAAAAATCTTCCATATAAATTAGAATTCCTCTTAATTTTGGAAATGTCCCAGTGTTTCATCTTTCTTCATGTTTTTTTTTTTTTTTTCATCTTGTTCCTGCCATCAGTGAGGAACATATTTTATGTAAAGACTAACTCAGTAGGAAGAAACCTCAGGACTTCTAAAACACGTCCCAAATTTCAGGGGACTCTGGGAAGAAATAGACATTTTTTTCTTTCCAATTAAAAAAATTATTTAACAATCACAAATATGTGCGTTTAAAAACTGAGCAACGGAACAAGGGTAGCTCCATCTAGGGAAAAAGACACCAGAATTTTGTGGATGTGTTTGTGAAGCAGAGGGATTTATGGGTTTCTACCACTTCTGCTTGGCTGCTATGCTCTGAAGAAAGCAGCTTCAATTCAAAGAACAGAGAATAGAGAAATCTTACCAACAGTTCTCTAATAACCCTAACTTTGTTAAGTACAGATACATCCTTATCACGTAGCTGCCACATCTTTCCTTGATCATTAGCAATGAACGAGAGGTACACAAATTACAGCAAATATAGTGGTTTTCAGTTGTTTCCATTGAGAGAGATTGTGTACCAACACCATCTTCATACTTCATCACGAACAGAGACTCAGCCCTATGTGAAACACCCAGACACTTGAAGTATTTTGAAGAGGTGTTACCATCTGTTCTTTCAGAAAAGTTTACTTTAATAGTGAATTGGTTTACCTTTGTTTTTTGAGGTTCATGGTCGAATTCTAGGAAAGCAGAACTTTAGGGATATTTGTTTTAATACAATCATTAATAAATCATTAAACTGAATCAAAGGATGGGTTGACAGAATAGATGTGAAGAAAAAAAACATTCCAGGTTAAAGGAATAACACTAGTTCAAGGTGTTGAAACCTGAAAATAATGCTTCCTGAGCTTAGTCATGGCAGATAGGAAATGCCTTTTATTTTTTTAAACTTTTTGTTCATAATGAAAATACATACTCCTCATAGGAAATTCAAGTAGTATACAGAAGCAGGGAGAAAGTAATGTTAAATTACTAGAAATAGAAACATTATCATGGCCATGGTTTTTCAGAATCTTTTGTTCCGTGTGTGGGCATGTGTGTTAATATAACTTTACATAACTGATATACATAGTCTTAAATCTACATTTTTAAAAAAATGAGTGATGAGCCTCCTTCCAGGGTAGCATTTGTGTGTGTGTGTGTGTGTGTGTGTGTGTGTGTGTGTGTGTGACTGAATAGAATTGCTCTTTTAAAAAAACATTTTCTGGGGCACCTGAGTGGCACAGTTGGTTTAAGCATCCGACTTCGGCTCAGGTCATGATCTCATGGTTTGTGGGTTCGAGCCCCGCATCAGGCTCTGTGCTGACAGCTAGCTCAGAGCCTGGAGCCTGTCTTTAGATTCTGTATCTTCCTCTCTCTCTGACCCTCCCCTGCTCATGCTGTCTCTCTCTCTCTCTCAGAAATAAACAAAACATTAAAAAAATTAAAAAAATCTTTTTTTAATGTTCATTTGTTGTTGGCATGGGGGGGGAGGCAGAGAGAGAGAGGGAGACACAGAATCCAGAGCAGGCTCCAGGCTCTGAGCTGTCAGACCAGAGCCCGACTTGGGCCTCAGACTCATGAACTATGAGATCATGACCTGAGCTGAATTTGGATGCTTAACCAACCCAGATGCTCTACTGTGTCCATTTTTTAATTGGATTTTTTTTTTCTGTTGAGTTGTATGATTTCTTCAGATACATAAAAAATGATACCAACCACTTATCAAATACATAATTTCCAAATATTTTCTCCCATCCTGTAGGTTGCCTTTTAATTTTGTTAATGGTTTCCTTTCCTGTGCTTTCTAGTTTGATATAAGCCCTACTTGTTTATTTTTGCTTTTGTTGTCTTGGCCTTTATGTCGTTCCAATTTTAGTATATGTGCTGCCGAAGCGAGCACTTGGCCTTTATGTCAAATCCAACAAAACACTGCTTTGACCAATGTCAAGGAGCTTACCCACTTCTTCCAGGAGATTTATGTTTTCAGATCTTAGGCTCAATCAGTCTGTAATCTATTTTGAGTTGATTTTGGTGTGTGGTCTAAGACAGGGATTTAGCTATGTTCTTTGGCAAATGAATATCCAGTTTTTATGAAACCATTTATTAAAAAAATGATCCTTTCCCCATTGAATATTCTTGGCTCCTTTGTCAAATACTAGTTTATCATACACGCATGGGTTTATATCTGGGCTCTTGATTATGATCTGTAGGTCTGTGGGTCTGTTTTTATGCCAATATCCTGTTGTTTTGATTACTACAGCTTTGTAATGTAAATTATAAAATGTCATTACCATAGCTTTGAAATCAGGAGATGTGATGCCTACTGCTTGTTCTTCTTTGTAAAGATGGCTCTGCCTATTCCAGGTCTTTCATGGTTCCATACAAATTTTAGTATTATTTGCTCTATTTCTCTGAAAAATGTCTTTGGAATTTTGATAGAGATTGCACTGAATCTAAGGACTGCTTGGGTAATATGGACATTTTTACATTAATTCTTGTAGCCCATAAGCATGGGATATTTTTCCATTTATTTGTTGTGTCTTCTTAAGTTTCTTTGATCAATATCTTGTAGTATTCAGTGTACATATCTTTTACTTCCTGAGTTAAATATATTACTAGATATTTTATTCCTTTTGATTCTATTAGAAATGCGATTGTTTTCTTAATTCCTCTTTCTGTTAGTGTGTGCTTAGTGTATAGAAACAACTAATTTTTGTATGGTAAGTTTTATCCTCAAAATTTACTGAATTCTTTTATTCTGTTTTTGGTGGAATCTTTAGGACTTTCTTTACATACTTTAACACCATTTGCAAATAGAGACAGCTTTATTTTTTCTTTCCAAATTGTATGCCATTTATTTCTTTTTCTTGGTCAATTGCTCTGGATAGAACTTTCAGTGCTGTATTGAAAAGAAGTGGCAAGAATGGCCATCTTTTTCTTGTTCCTAATCATAAAGGAAAAGCTTTTAGTTTTTCACCACTGAGAATGATACTAGCTGTGGGCTTCTCATATATGACTTTTATGATGTTGAGGTACATTCCCTCCGTACTCATATTGTTGAGAATTTTTATCATGAATTCTGTCAAATGCTTTTGCTGCATCAGTTGAGATAATCATAAGCTTTTTTTAAAAAATCATATTTATTACTAATGTCATATACTGCATTGATTGATTGTGCATGTAGAACCATCCTTGTATCCCTGGAATGAATTTTACTTAATCATGGTGTATGATCCTTTTAATGTATTGTTGAATTTGATTTGCTACTATTTTATTCAGGGTTTTTTTTTGTTGTTGTTTTTTGTTGTTGTTGTTTTGTTTGTTTTTTGCATTTGTGTTCATCACGGCTATAGGCCTGTATTTTTCTTTTCTTGTAATGTTCTTGTCTGGCTTTGGTATCAGAGTAATGCTGCTTCATAACAAGTGAATTTGGAAGTCTTCCCTCCTCTTATATTCTTGGCAAGACTTTGAGAAAAGTTGACATTAATTCTTTAAATGTTTAGTAAGAATGCACGAGTGAAGTCATCTTCTCCTGGATTTTTCTTTGTGGGGAGGTTTTTGATTAATGATTCAAGATCCTTCCTTCATTTGTCTGTTCAGAATTTCCATTTCTTCATGCTTCAGCCTCAGTAGGTTGTGTGTTTATAGGAATTTATTTTTTCTTCTAGCGTACCCAATCTGTTGGCATATACTTGTTATAGTTGTCTTTATGATTCTCTGTATTTCTGTGGTATCAGTTGCCGTGTCTTCTCTTTCATTTCTCATTTTATTTATTTGAGTCCTCTCTCTTTTTTCTTGGTAAGTCTAGCTAAAAGTTTATCTAATTTGTTTATCTTTTGAAGAAGAAAAACAGGTGTTAGTTTCACTGATCTTTTCTAGTCTGTTTAATCTCTATTTTATTTATTTGCGCTCAGATCCTTGTTATTTCCTTCTTTTCTACTAGCTTTGTGCTTAGTTTGTTCTTTTGTTTTTATTCCATGTAGTCTAAAGTTAGGTTGTTTATTTGAGCTTTCTCGTATATCTTAATGTATGCATTTATTACTGTGAACTTGCCTCCTAGAACTTCTTTTGCTGCATCCCATAAGTGTTGATATGTTATGTTTCTATTTTCATTTATCTCCAGATATTTTTCTTTCTCTTTTTGATTTCTTTTTGAGACATTGCTTATTCAGAAGAATGTTGTTTGGGGCGCCTGGGTGGGTCAGTCAGTTAAACGTCTGACTCTTGAGTTCAGCTCAGGTCATGATTTCACAGTTAGTGGGATTGAGCCCCATGTTGGGCTCTGTGCTGACAGCCTGGAGCCCACTTAGGATTCTCTCTCTCCTTCTCTCTGCCCCTCCCAGCCTCTCAAAATAAATAAATAAACATTTAAAAAAAGAAGCATGTTGCTTAATCACCACATATTTATGAATTTTTCAGTTTTTGTCTTGTAACTGATTTCTAGCTTGCTACTATTGTGGGTGGAAAATATGCTTGATACGATTTCAGACTTGTTAAATTTATTAAGACTGGTTTTTTGGCCCTAACATTTGATCTTTCCTAGAGAACATTCCATGGACACTTGAGAATAATGTTATTCTGACCCTGTTGGGTGGAAAGTGCTGTAGGTGTCTGTTAGGTCTATCTGGTCTAACATGTAATTTAAGTCCAATGATTTCTTATTGATTTTTCTTTCTGAATAATCTATCCATTGTTGAATAGCTATTGAATTTCCCCACTATTATTTTTTAAAATTTTTAAATGTTTATTTTTGAGGTATAGAGAGAGACAGGAGACAGAGACAGAACATGAGTGGGGGAGGGGAGAGAGAATTGAAAGCAGAGGTTTTAATAAAAAGTTAAGTTTAAACATTCCTTTAGATTCTCTGAATGAAGAGAGAGTAATGTGCCTGAATTTTATTTTTCTTGCCGGGATTTCTAAGCAATTAACTTGAATTTGATATAGGAAAAATGGTTCAATGTTTCTACACAGCATTAAGCCAACATTCATAATTCTATAATTTTATCATCAAAGTAGTGACACAGTTACCATCATTCAGCCACAATGGTTTTAAAGTAGAGAAGAACACCAGGTTATTTTCTTATTCACATGATTTCTCCATCTCTTGATTATATTTGTTCTTGTACATTTCTTTGCCTACAGTCACATTGTTTTTGGAGTTTTGGAAACAGCGACAAGCCAGAATGGAATATGAGTGGGACCTGGTGGACTTTGAAGAGGAGCAGCAACAGCTTCAGCTGAGACCTGAATTTGAAGCTATGTGCAAACACAGGAAGATAAATGCCGTGACTAAGGTAGATCAGGAAACCAAAATGGGAGGCATATCTCAATGGACACACCTCACAAATAATTATGTATATTTTAATTTGCCTTTAAAATATTCTCCAACATATAAATCTTATAAACTCCTTTAGTTGTTTCTAATATGTATTTCAAGTATATACAAACAAAGTAGATAGAGAAGTGTAATGAACCCCAGGATGGACCCATCACCCAGCTTCAATTCATATTAATTCACGGACAATCTTGTTTCATTTACACTTGCTCCTTCCTGAAACTAGATTATTTTGCAGCAAATACAAGACATCATGTCATGAACTTACATAGGTTTGTAATAAATGATGTAAAAGGAAAATGAAAACTAAGGTGTCTGCTGTGTGAGCTTAGTATATGTGTATATATACACACACATATATATATATATATGTATACACACACACACGCATGCATGGATATGATACTAAGTTATTAATATGCAAATATTACAATAGTATTGTAATAAGATAGTGGGCTTATGAGTGATTGTTTTATTAGACCACATTTTATTCATCTAGTCCTTTTCAATTTATTATAATGGGAAGATCATTGCAGTAGTGTCTGCATGGTAAAGTTTGGATTTGGGGATCCTTAACTGGCAAATCACTTATATGTTGTTGACTGAGTAATTTGACTTCTTAGTAACTCTTTTTTGTTTTTAATGGGAAAATGGAAAGTACTTTGCCTTCAAAGACCAGACTCGTGGCTGCATATTCTTAGTGTCCCTAACTTTCCATAATCTATAATCACTGTGTTGCTTGATGCTATTAAAGGGTGAACAGAATCTGTCTCTTAACACAATCCCTTCAGTAGAATTTCCTACTTTGTTCAGGACACTATTCTTGTGGTTTAATACTCAAGATTCTTTTCATAGTTTAGACACTCACTAAACACTTAGTAACTTTTATTGAGGCATTACAAAAAATTCAGTAAGTGAGCAAAGGGGAAATACACCTCAGAAAATACATTAACAGCTTGGATGGCTGCGTTGACATTAAGAAAATATATTGAAAGAGACATTGTCCTAATAATGACATGATGTGTGTCTATTCCTATTTCATGGAATAAAAAAGAAACTCAAAGTGAGCCTAAAATTACTGAAGTAAAAGTAGTATGTACTGAATGTTTACATATGAAACCAGCTGAAAACCAGTGTGGACTGATCCACTGTGAATCATCCACTTTAGTGCTTTAGAAATCAAGGGTTTTTTGACTCCTTCGCAGTGCTTCTTCAGTGGTTCAGTAAAACCAATCAGAACCCTCACACACGCGTGCACAAACAAGTATGCACACACAAACATACGTATTGGACACACATGCACATGCATGTATATAGTCACATATATGCACAGACGCATACACATCTGGGAGTTCAGTAGAGCTCTCGGATGGCTATTTTGCCTGTTGAGTTCTGTTTGCATTCAGTCTTCCCTAAAAATCCTCAAGATGTAAAAATCTTCGCTAAAAATCCTATCCTTTAGATAGAATGACATAATTTAGATTTCTGTTGACAGCTCTTCTTTTACTACATGGCAGTATTTTTTTAAATAATATCTAACTGCCTCTTGATATAGCTGAGAGTTTCAACTGATATAATTAATATCTTCCATTAATAACTTAAAAAACATGAATGTAGAAAAGACTGGACCCACGAACTGTGTAGAAGAATGAAATCCTGTTAAGTATAAAGAAGGGGCCCTGTTTAATATCATGCGTAGCAATTATGGAGCAATGCAGTGCGATTCAATTCAATTAGAATAAAACTATAAAATCATTGAAGCATGTCAACTTAACAGCAGCCCTCAGGTTATGGCTTTGTCTACCAGGCCTGAATATCACTCCATCTCAACACTGAAGAAATAGTGTGTATCCATTATGGGTCACATTATGTGTAAAATCTCTCCCCTAAGGGCCATAAAGGCTTCTACGGAAAGGGAAGGAACCACGGCTAGAATGTGGCTTCCCAGGAGCTGTAGTGGGCAGTTTGGGGGAGGTTTCTATTCTCACTGGGTTTTGTGGTTTTGACTGCTGTTGGGAGTCCCAACGTGGCGGGTAGGTTTTGATTTTTGCTGTGATTTCTTCCATATTACAGGAGATGGAACCTTATATGCCTCTATACAGTCGCCTCCCGTGGTACTTTTTATCTGGAGCTACAGTGACGTTATGGGTGAGCATTCTTTTACAACTGCTCTCATCTCACTGACACACAGTCCTATAGTAGGGTTATCCTAGCCATCTTTTTTTTTTTTTAATGTTTTGTTTATTTCTGAGAGAGAGAGAGAGAGAGAGAGTGTGTGTGAGCAGGGGAGGGTCAGAGAGAGAGGGAGACACAGAATCTGAAGACAAGCTCCAGGCTCTGAGCTGTCAGCACAGACCCCGACACGGGGCTCGAACCCACAAACCGTGAGATCATGACCTAAGCTGCAGTTGGACGCTTAACCGACTGAGCCACCCAGGCGCCCCTATCCTAGCCGTCTTATCTGCAGTGACTCCTGGGCCCCTCTCCTTCCTCTCCCTCTCCAGTCCCTTTCTCTTGAATACAGCTCCTATATAAAATAAAGTGTGATCTATGTGGATGTGCCATAACTGAACCTTGGGGAAAGAGCTGGGGGTGAGAGCAAGGCCTCATCTTAGAGACTGTCCTTCCGCTTCTCCAAGCACTTCATTTATTAGGTGAGAACTTGAAACCAGAACCATATAACACACTGTTATAGTGTGGTTGCAGACTATCTGGTTAGTGGTTTTTAAAAATCATTAATTTATCTTTATCTCCACTTAAAATAGCTACACAGAATGCAAGAAAATAAAAACATATACTCTTGAAATTTATTTTCTTGCTGAGATAAATAGAAGAAAAATTTAGCTAGCATGTCCCATTGTGAGGGAGTCAGGTTTTCTCCATGCTTTTGAGCTGATAGATTTCATTCCTCCATCACCACAATTTATTTCCTGCCCTCCCCTCTCCAAATCTGTGCCCTCTTACAGTTGGCCTTTAATTTTAGGAAAAGAAGCAATGTTACCCCCTGAGCATTACTGAAATATAAATAATTAGCAGCTATAGACTATAGTTTAACCTTACCAGTCCACATTATCCCATAATAGTTTATCTTTAGTATTTCTAGTTAAAGGAATTGATTTTTCTGTTTTAAATGTATGTTTTCTTAGGTGATGCAACAGTCACTGAGGAGAAATGATAGAGTAAATGGGGGAGGTCAATAATCAAGTCAGGGCACTACTTGAGAAATAATATAGAGTGTGGTCCCAGAAAGATTGTTTTGTCTTTTCTTTCTAGTACTCATTCAGCTTGGTTCAGTCCCTCAATGTTCAGAATCAAATTTTCAAATCATTGAGATAAAGACATCCCTCGATCTTCATGTTTTTCCAATTTGGGAAGTATTTAAAATTTATGCAGAATCTATACAGATACCTCAACTACCAGGCATATCAGACCACTAATAGCAATAATCTGAGGGCTAATGAAATAGAATTTGTAACCGTGTTCTTGCTGGGAAAGCACATGGTCTTCACACCACCCTGTTTGGAGCAGAGGTTGGCAAACATTTTCTGTAAAGAGGCCAGATGTATTTTAGGCTTTGTGGGCCTTGTACAAATAGCCTCTGGTATCTTTGCTTTTTCTTGTAACCTTTAAAAAAAAGCAAAAACAAAACAAATTTTAACTCAAGAATTATAAGAATAAGTAAGTCTACAGGCAGGATTTGGTCTTCTGTATAGTTTTCCAGTGCTTGGAAAAGGATGGGCCTAAAAGTTGGGCAATGGCTACTTTTCTGTTTTAGGCTCACTCAGCAGCTGCCACCGTAGGTCTTGTCTTATCTCCAGTCCTTTCTCCTTGCCAGTGTTCTTTTCCTGGCACCTGTGGTGAGTGAGAGAGCCTGGCTTGGTCTGCTTTCCATGTCAGAGGCATTAACGTTAACATGATGTGAGGAAGAGATTAGTATGTTTCAGATGTGAGCACATCGCAGAGATACAGAGACCGCGTGACCAATTCCTTCTCTCCCTCTTCCAGATGGCTCTTGTCATTGCCTGCATGGTAGCTGTGATTGTGTACCGCCTGTCAGTCTTTGCAACGTTTGCTAGCTTTATGGAAAGTGAAGCATCCTTGAAGCATGTCAAAAGTTTCCTCACTCCCCAGATAGCTACGTCACTCAGTGGATCCTGCTTAAACTTTATTGTCATCTTGATCTTGAATTTCTTTTATGAAAAGATATCTGCATGGATAACAAAAATGGGTAAGCTGGCCAAATATCTGTGTGACACTGAAAAAGTGTTCCCGCCAGTGCTATACATCCACTTTGGATCATCCCCTGGGGAGTTCATATTTAAGTCAGTTTTTAAAGTTAGAAAGCAATTTTGTTCTACAGGTAGATGCATAGGCTGATATTCAGAACCCCCAACACTCATATTTAGGCCCATTGTATTGGAAGCCAGAAAAAGAACTAGACAGGAGAATTAGGACTCTGTAGGTCTTTTTTTTTTTTTTTTTTAATATTTTTATTTATTTTTAGGAGAGAGAGAAAGAGACAGCATGAGCAGGGGAGGGTCAGAGAGAGAGGGAGTCACAGACTGAAACAGGCTCCAGGCTCTGAGCTGGCAGTCAGCACAGAGCCCGACGTGGGGCTCGAACCCACGAACCTCGAGATCGTGACCTAAACGAAAGTCGGACGCTTAACCAACTAAGCCACCCAGGCGCCCCCTCTGTAGATCTTTTTTGAGTATCTTTGTCTTACTCCTCCTTTGAGGGGGCTAGTTGAATTTTAAGTAAAATCCTCACTTTCCTCAAGACATAGGTAATTTTTATTTCCTGTGTATGGTTTTTAGAAGGTATTTGATTTTGAAAATTCTTTTTCTTTACATTTTTTTAAATGTTTCTTTATTTTTCATAGAGAGAGAGACAGAGGACGAGTAGTGGAGGGACAGAGAGAGAGGGAGACACAGAATCTGAAGTAGGCTTCAGGCTCTGAGCTGTCGGCCTAGAGCCCAATACGGGGCTCAAACCCATGGCTCATGATTTGAGCCAGAGTTGGGAGCTTAACCAACTGAGTCACCCAGGCATCCCATAGAAGGTATTTGCTTTTGAAAAACATCGTAGAAAAAATGGAGCAATCGTCTCTTCCTGAGTAAATCTTACATGTAGTGCTTTTCTTTTCAGTTGCTATGTCTTAGATCCTGGAGCATTCTCATTTTAAATGATTAAAAATGCTCCCACAGCCATGAAGGCTATTAAAGGGGTCACAGCTGAAGTGGAGATTTAGTCCGGGAGAGGAGTGCAGAGCACTCTCTTGTTTACGGTTTTGCCCCAGCAAGTTGGAAATGAGATCAGAGACCCTGCTCCGGGCCTGAGATTCTCCTCTGTGTGCTTAGCTCCCTCCTCTAAGTCAGGACACCGTCACTGTGCCCACCAGTAACCAGAAAGAGCACAGTATTCCCTGGACACTGGAGTATGCACTAGGAAGCAACTTGCATTAAATGCTATCCTTAAATTTGTAGTTCTTTTTCAATTTTACTGCTTTTTTCCCTGCTAATTACAATAAAAAATATCTAGCAGATAGCACTTAAAAACAAACCATCTAAAAAAATCACAGTTTTCAGTGACAAAAATTACTTGTGTTCATATTAGAGATATGTTAGAAATGCAAGGGAATTATCTGTGTCTTTGGAATAAGATGTGTTACTATTTTAGTATTGTTGAAGCTGTGACAAATTTGGCTGAATCAGCTCATGCTGTTGGGAGATTATCAACTAAGAAAACATACCCCCTGACTCTTTTACACCTCCGGATGCTTCTCTGTGCTGTGAAAGGAATCTAATTTTTTTTTTAATCTTTGGAATTCATTAAATGATAGATCATGATCATGCATTTTAAATAAAGGAGAGAGAAAATGAATTATTATTGCCACCATCTGTATGATATTATTTTCAAAATTGATATAACCATTTAATTCATGAGAGGAAAACGCAATTTAGTTTGGAAATCATCCTCTGCCCTTAATATGAGTTTACTTTGATTAAACCTGATTGAAAACAAACAAGAGAGAGAGAGAGAGCTGAGATGTTTACAGGGTATGTGATATATAAGGGGGGCGATTATAAGCCTCTCCAGTCTGATATGGGTCTGAATCCCATATTCTGACTGTGTGACTCCAGGCAAGTATTTGACCCACCTAAATATAGAAATGACTAATTCCTAGCCTTCTCCAGGGATTAGATTAATACAAGTCTCTAATAAAAAGTCGAACACAAATCTTAATATTGGTCTGTTAGAACAAAGACTTGGTCACTTTTCAGCAGTGCGTCTGAATAATGACTTTCCCAGGGAATACAAAATTGAAGGAGAAACAGGAAGGTGCATAATTTAACGTTGGTGTTTTATTACTTAACAGAAATTCCTCGAACTTACCAGGAATATGAGAGCAGTCTTACCTTGAAAATGTTCCTGTTTCAGTTTGTAAATTTTTACTCGTCCTGCTTCTACGTAGCTTTCTTTAAAGGGAAGTTCGTGGGCTATCCCGGAAAATACACATATTTGTTTAATGTGTGGAGAAGTGAAGAGGTAGGAATTCTCTTGAGAGGTTTGGGGCTTTAGTAACTCAATATTAGCTAAATACTTTTTGTATGTTCAGCAGTAACTCAGATTTTATCAAGATTTAAGAGAAGTCTAAGACACCGACTCTCTCCACAGAGAGTATTGGTCTTACAATCCTGTCATCTGATAGACCTTCCAGTTCTTTCTGGGCAATAATTGATATTGTGCCTATTGTTTGGTAGTAATATATGAGCTATAAAATGGGATAAATAGGTTTTATATTCCTGAAGGCTTCCTGCAAAAGTTGAATGATAGTGTTGCACAAGTATAGCAAAAATGGCTCCATAATGGGTTATAGAGTTAGACCAGTCAGTGGTTTCCATCTGTGGCTGTGGAGAAAATAACAACTTCTAGCCCTAATTCAATAAAGATTCAGAATCTTCTAAGAGTAAGACCCAGAAATCTGAATCTAATGCAGCCATCTCATAACTCGTTAGTGAATGTGCTTGAAACTGTTGAACTAAATATCTCTTTACACCCCTTTAATATCCATTCCCATCAAAAATTTTTAGATTGTAATCTTATGGTTTGAGATTTCTTTTTTTGCAAAAGTCCATCTTTCATCATTCACTCTTTTTTTCTTTTTGTCTCTGCCTAGTGTGACCCTGGAGGCTGTCTAATAGAATTGACAGCCCAGTTGACCATCATAATGACTGGGAAACAGATCTTCGGAAACATTAAAGAAGCCATTTATCCGTATGTATGACTTACAATTTTTTCCTCAATAACCATGAGAGATTTCCTCTGGAAGAAGATGGAATTCTTTGATTATCATGGTATCTTTGTTAGCATATGCTTAAGTCAACAACAATAACAAAAACTCGCTTTTAACCAACAGTCAGTAATGCACTAAGGTAATACAGGCTTTTAAATATGGATTGTTATTGCTTGAGTGAAGTTGAGGGAAAGGTATTATACCCCTCTCCTATGAAGAATCCACTGGTAAATCTAAATATTATATTCTCTCTATATTATTCTATATGTTGCATATTATTTCTCAAGATTAGTGTAAGTTGAACTCTGTTAAAAATATCCATGTGAGGGGCACCTGGGTGGCTCAGTCAGTTAAGTGTCCCATTCTTGATTTCCGCTCAAGTCATGATCTCATGGTTTGTGAGTTCAAGCCCCATGCCGGACGCTGCACTGACAGAGCAGAGCCTGCTTGGGATTCTCTCTTTCTTCCCCCCGCCCTTCCCCACAAATAAATAAACGTAAGAAATATATATATCCATGTGACATGGACACACTTAGGCACAAAAATTGGTCATGAATGAAGTTTGAGTATATGAAGGGATTGCTCCCTATTCCAAAAGCATAGCAATAATGAATACATTATAAAAAGAGAAAACCAAAATGACAGTTGATCTCAAATAGAAGTTGAAATTTTCCATGGATAAAAAGAGAAAGAATCATAAGCCTGTAATCTTGCAGTGCTTTTAGTTAGGAAATGACAGTGTCAAGGTTAGCACCTACACAATCAAGTGGACTAAAGTGCCCCACTTAAGACTAGGGCGTGGCTGTTGTAACTGTACTTGAAGTTAGGGATTGGGTTTATTGTCACTTCTTCATGAAAGAAGGTTGAAAACACCCTCCCCTTCTGCTGCCACTTCTTTCCACAGTTTTGTAGCACTCCTGGGGTTCTTTTTCATGTGCTGACAAAGGAAAAACATAGACTTATCTTTTCAAACAGGATTTGATGTACTGCATCCCAGTTACCCCAGAAAAATAACTCGAAGCTGTTATTTTAAGTCCTAGCTCTAAACTAGGAATCTGGAGGGCATAATGGGGATAACCCCTAAACCAAACACAGAGAGGAAAAGAGAAAGACACACAGGGAAGCAAAAGAAAAAAGAAGGAAGTAAAATTAAGCCTACAGAAACAAAAATTCCAAAATTTATGGTAAAATTTAATGCTACCGAGACTGCCAACAAAATCAATTTTTAAGAAGTGAACTTACTCTAGCTAGAATCTTCTGGCAGCCTAAAAGCATAAAGAGAAGTGATGCTGTCATTTAGAAGGATCAGGAAAGAGTTTAGATAAAAACATATATAAATGAAACAAGAATAAGTTAACAGGAGAAAGAATCAATTATACATAAATGAAAAAAAATGATACTTTAAATAAAGATAGGTGACATCAATGGAACACTGGACACAATTGGAGAGTGAATTAATGAATTGGAAAATAGTACTGAGAAACTTCCACATTAACCAAATGCAATAGAGTGGCAATAAGATTTAAAAAATTAAAGTGACAGGAGGCTTTATTAGAAGGCTTCCACATCAACTTAGTAGTAGTTCCAGAAAAAGAATTGAGTAAATGGTGGAAGGAAAAATTCTTTAACTAGGTAATTGCTGAAAATTTTCCAAAACTGAAGGAAAACATGAGTTTCAGAAATGAAAACAAATTTGGAGTATGAGGTAAGACAAATAAAATTAAATTCACACCCAGATATGTTATGGTGAAGCCCCAGAACATGAGAGCTAAACAGTCTTAAAATCTTTCAGAAGAAAAGAGTATCCTCTACACTGACAACACATTTCTTACTCCTCGCAATAGATACAGAAGACGGTAGAGTAGCTTCAAGATTTGGAGTAAAATTAATGCACACCTTAGATTTCTAGAAACAGCTTAACTAGTTTATAAGTGCAGGTGAAATAAAGACACTTTTAGACATAAAAACAAGAATTTATATTTATAGACCCTTAATGGAAGATCTACTGAAAGGTATAGTTGAGCAAGAAGAGAGCACAACATGAAAGTATGGGAAGCAAGAATCATTGATCAGTACAGAAAGAGTAAGCACCAAAAAAATGAAACACTTTGATATAAATTTTTAAAATATATGGGATTTGTATGCTGAAAACTACATATCCTGGTGGAAAACAAATTATTTGGAGAGAAATGTGTTCACAGATTGGAAGACTCAAATTAGTAAAGATGCCAGTTATTCCCCAAGTTGATATATAGATTTGTTATTCCAATCAAAACATCTGCTGAATTTCTATACTTATAGACAAGCAGATTCTAAAATTGATATGGAGGGTAAAGGAACTAAAATAGGCCAAACAATTCTGATAAAGAAGAATAAAGTTGGAAGAATTGCCCTGCTCAATTTTAAGGCTTACTATAAAACTGTATGAATCAAGAGGGTGGGATTGATGAAGGAATACATATATGGATCAGTGGAACAGAGTAGAGATTGCAGAAATAAATCTGCACAAATGTGGCCATTTTGTTTTTGAAAAAGTGCAAAAGCAGTTCCTTGCAGAAAGAACTGTCTTCTCAACAACTTCTGCTGGAACAATTGGACCTCTATTCGCAAAATAGCAAAGCTCGGTGTAAACTCACACCTTATTTAGAAAGTAACTAAAAATGGGGGCATCTGGGTGGCTCAGTTGGGTGAGCATCTGACTTTGGCTCAGGTTATGATCTCACGGTTCATGAGTTTGAGCCCTGCATCAGGTTCTCTGCTGTCAGTGCAGAGCCTGCTTCGGATCTTCTATCCTCCTCTCGCTCTACCCATTCCCTGCTTGTGCTCTCTCCCCCTCTCTCTCTCTCTCTGTCTCTCTCTCTCTCTCAAAAATATATCAATCTTTAAAAAAAATTAACTGACAATGGATCATAGATGGCAAAGGCACATTTAGGAAAGTAAGGAAGTAATCGTTACCAAATTCAACATAATGGTTACTATGCGGGGACTGAGGAGTTAGTAATTAGGATGGAGCATGTGGAAATACTTTGGGGACCCCTGCCAAATTTTTCTTTTTCCAACTGGGTAATCCCCTTTTCTTTGTGACTCCAGTTCCATGTTTGCCTGTCTTTTTGATAGTGTCAGAAATCTCAGGTGTTCTGTGCCCTTTTCACCATTTTTTTTCCTTCTTGTCTTTCAGTTCAGAGATAAGCAGTGTATAATTGTTCATTTTAATATACATTTGCTATAGTTCTTCATAGTGTCTTGTTACATTTTGCACATTTGGAAGGTATAAATAATATCTCACACTAGCCTTGGTTTGGATTTCCCTGATTAATAACATGAATGAGCTTTGTTGGCCCATATGTGTTTCCTCTTCCATGAAATGCTTGCTGGTATGGTTTAACCATTTTTTCTACCTGCTTATCTTTTTTTTCTGATTGATTTGTAAGAACACTTTATAACTTCTGGTTACTGTATTTTTGCTTGGTTGGTTTTTGGTCATATGTGCTGCATATATTTTATCCCAACGTAAATTTTGTCTCTATTTTTCTCAACCCCAGTGGTCCTGACATTTTGGGCCAGTTAATTCTTTGTTGTAGGGGGCTGTCTTCTGCATTGTAAGAGCTTTAGCAGCATCCTTGGACTCTATATATACTGGATGCCAGTAGCCCACTCTCCCTAGGTGACAACCAAAAATGTCTCTGCCATTGCAAATGCACCCCAGTGGGCTAAATCACTCGCGCTAGGCCATCTCTGGTATAGATGGCCGAAAGTACATACTTTTAATACATTAAAATTTACCAATCTTTCTTTTCTTGGATTAGCATTTTTTAGGTCTTATTTAACAAATCCTTTCCTACCCAAATAAAAAAAGATATTCTCATATCTTTATCCCTTTATCGGGTATGCCATTTGTATATCCTCTCCTATTCAGTAGGTTGTCTTTTGGTTTGTTAGTTGTTTCCTTTGCTGTGACTTTCCCTTATTCGGAATGATGTTTGCCCCAGGATTTTGGTAGATGGTTTTGATCCAATTGAAGTACTTTCCTTCTTTTCCTACTTTTCTGTCATATCTAAGTTTCGATAGGTGCTTGAAACATATCAAATGAATTTTCCTGCATTTGTCAACATGATTTTATGTTTTTCTCCTTAAATCTGCTGATGTGACTTATTACATTGATCAATTTTCTAGTAAAAAGGCTTTTTTAAAAGTTCCTTAAAGTAACCTAACATTATCATGGTATATTATTTTTTAAATAGTATCGAATTTAGTTAGGTAATATTTTGTTTGGGATTATTGTTTTTATTTTCACATATTAGATAAACTATGTTTTCTTTGTCATTTATTTTCTCTTGTAACCAATTTCTCATTTCTTTTTTTTTTTTTTTAAATGTTTTTTATTTATTTCTAGGAAAGAGAGAGAGAGACAGTGTGAGCAGGGGAGGGTCAGAGAGAGAGGGAGTCACAGACTGAAACAGGCTCCAGGCTCTGAGCTGGCAGTCAGCACAGAGCCTGACGCGGGGCTCGAACCCACGAACAGCGAGATCATGACCTAAGCGAAAGTCGGACGCTTAACCGACTAAGCCACCCAGGCGCCCCTCCAATTTCTCATTTCTTTGAGCATCCTCCATGACAACATAAAGTTTAATAAATAGAAAAAAAAAATCGGTCCTATGGTGAACCTCTTGTCCACATGCTCTTTAACAGAACTGTCTCTGACTAAATATATTTCCATGGGAGGAGTCAAGGTTGTCTTATTTTCTTTATCACCCAATAAAGAATTTTGACTGTAGCATGTGTTGTGAAAAGAATGCTAGATTTTCATTTCAACTTTAGCTACAGTCATATCTCTCCTTGCTCTGTGATCTTAAGTTACTTACCCTGTCTTACTGCCAATTTCTAGATCTAACACCCTTATTAACTCTGACCTTTCTTTTAAGTTCTAATCATGTATTTACTTTTAACACCTCCAACAGTATGGTTCTGAATTGGTGGAGACGTCGAAAAGCTCGGACCAATTCCGAAAAGCTATACAGTCGATGGGAGCAGGATCATGACCTTGAAACTTTCGGATCTCTTGGGCTATTCTATGAGTACTTAGAAACAGGTAATTTTTAACCACTGTCTTGAAACATAGAGTCAGGCTGAGTAAAGTAAGTGTTTTTGCAGCTATTTATATTTATATATATATATTTATATTATATATTTATATTTATATATATTTATATTTATATTATGTATTTACTTTATATTTAAAAGTATGGATTACTTTTAAATCCCTGTCTCAGATTAGCTTGCATGGGTCTCCTGTTTGCCACACTGACAGCCCAGAGGGAGAATGAGTCGAAACACATTCCCAGAGTCTGACATACATTTAGTGTCAGTCCTTTATTTCAGGCTGAAAAGAAGCAGGCTAAACACAGTTGTGCAAGGGAAGCTCACACTGAACACAAGAAATGCATAAAAAATGCTAAGGGTTGAACAGAGAAGAGATTTTTGAGGTGAAATTTTAGGAGGGATGATTGCGGGGGCTACTCGTAAAGTCTACTTGAGTGTTGCCTCTCAAATTACCTTCTCTGGTGGAATAATATTCTTCACTTACTCTCCAGTCCCATAATGATAGAATGAAAAAATGACCTGAAATTGTTACTGATTCTCCACTGTGATACATACATGATACCTGGATCGAAATAGGTAAATTTAAGACAAATCGAGAGAAGTCTATTTCCTATAGCTGACTGTAAAATTGGGCACTCTTTGCTTTAGGGGTGATGAGGCTGTAGTTTTGAATTAATTAGGTAAGTATCAAATGCATTTGTGCATAGATGCATTAGGGATTATCACTGAAATTTTTAAAAATGAAATCAAGCTTTCATAAGAAAATTAGCTACCATTTATTTATGGAGACTCAGCCAAGAGTTAGTTTATTCTGGATGTTCAATGAACATTATCCCTACTCTTGAAATGTTCTGCAGAGGAATTATTACTCACTACATTCTGTTTTAAAGGATACTGAAATTTGGATAGGTTAGTTTGTGCCGTGGGCTTAAATATTTTAAGTAAAAACCTGGGATTTGAACCCAGGAAATTCAAGCTGTTTCCACATAACACTTCCTCTGAATTTTTGTCTCTTAGTTCAGTAGAGGTGTTCAGTTGATTTAGTAAATGGCAAGGCTGATTATGTTGAGAAATTCTTCTGAGAAAAGCTGAAATCCAGAAACACTTGGGATTCATCTAAAAATAGAGGACTAGTGGAAGAGTCTTTTCTTCTCCCTTTAGTGGGAAGCCATTCCGTGTCTTGTATTACATTTTTCACTCATGTGGGAAGCCCAGACTGCCAGGTGAATAGATTCTTGTACCTTAATCATTGTTGGAAACAAACAAAATCAGAAAGAGAAGTGAACTTACATAGATGCTAAGTCTTAATGAGAAAAGAGAATAAAATTTATTTAGAAAGATGTCAAAGTAGTATAGAGGATCAGGACCTTAACAAACCTTAAACAATGTATTCATTCATAAGGCTCATAGTTGAGTATATTTATACACCCAACACATGCTGACTGTTGGAAATGTACAAATGAATCGGTCATTATCCCTGATCTCACAGATTTAGCAAGACAGAAAAACTTCATTACCCCACTAATGTGCCAATACCAGTGTAAAGACTGGGCCAGCATAGACCTAAACATAGCCCTGAAATAAAAGACTATGTTTTAAGAAGAATAAAGAGAATCTCTTATCTAACAAGAAGAGATGCTTCCTTCAGACAAGCAGATGTCAAAAGAAATAGCCAGGACAGAACTGAGTTGTATGTGCTCAGTTTCTCCTTTCTATTCTAGTAACCAAGTAAGTCACTAGGCTTCCAATGAGGAGGAAGGAGTGGACAGATGGAAAGAGGCCTGGAGTGTTTGGTTGGTATAGATTCCTCCCAAAATGAGGAAGTTGCAGGAATTGGGCAGAATGTTCCCTTTTTCTCTTTCACAATAATGAGTTTACTATTTTTTTCCCCCTACAGTTATCCAATTTGGATTTGTCACATTATTTGTGGCCTCTTTTCCTTTGGCTCCTCTTCTTGCTCTCTTGAATAATATTATAGAGATCCGAGTGGATGCCTGGAAACTTACAACTCAGTACAGGAGACCGGTAGCTGCTAAAGCTCATAGCATAGGTGTCTGGCAAGACATTCTTTATGGAATGGCTGTCCTTTCTGTTGCAACTAATGTAAGTGGACCCATTTTGGTTGGGCGGCTTTGTATTTTATTTTGTTTTCTTGGGGATGGGGAGATGTGAATGATGCTTAATTCAATCTTTATTTATGTTGATTTCATCATGGTGACGGTCCATAATGATCAGTCATCCCTACACTTTTATGCACTAGACAACACAGAGAAATTCTTGACATGCAAACTCTTAGAAATACAACGAAAAATGTAAAACCACTGTCCTTAAAATACCTTGATATAGTTTCATAGCATGTGACAGAGTAGACGGAAAATATGTAATGGTATAAAAGATTTGAATAACACAATTAACGCTTGATTATACATGGGGTTGTTTAGTACAAATAGAGAAGATACAACATTTACATATTATGTTTATGGAGCACTTATTAAAAAATGATAATGAGAGTTCCCTGCGTGGATCAGTCGGTTATGTCCGACTTCGGGTCAGGTCATGATCTCACAGTTTGCAAGTTTGAGCCCCGCATCAGCTCTGTGGTGACAGCTCAGAGCCTGGAGCCTGTTTCAGATTCTGTGTCTCCCTTTCCCTCTCTCTCTGCCCTTCCCCCACTTACACTCTGACTCTCAAAAATAAATGAATATTTTAAAAATTGTTTAAATGGTAATGAAATTAAATTCTCCAAAGCAGAAATTTTATAATATCTATTTAGATACAATAATGGTATAAAAATTGAAGTCAATAATAAAGATTATAAAAAAAATCTATCCACCTAACATTCACACTCTTAAGTAAGCTTTATTGTATAAAATGGAAGCAAAATTCAAACTATAAAGAGAGCTTAATTAAAATGAAAACCTATAGGAATTAGCTAAAACCACAGAAAAATTCATAGCAACAAATGCTCTTATTACTGTTTTAAGTTCATTTTGAGAGAGAGAGAGTTTGTGTGTGTAAACAGGGGAGGGGCAGAGAGAGAGAGGAATAGAGAGAATCCCAAGCAGGCTCTGTCACGTCAGTGCACAGCCCAATGCCAGTCTCAATCTCACGAACCATGAGATCATGACCTGAGCCGACATCAAGAGTTGGACACTTAACTGCCTGAGCCATACAGACACCCCTGTATGCTTTTATTATTAAAAAAGAAGACTGAGTTAAGCACATCAGAAACTAAGGAAAAACATAAAACTAATAAACAAAAAAGCAATAAAAGAATTAATACAGATGCAGTCAGAAATAATCAAATTAGAAAATAAATAAAAAGCAATATTCTTCCTATGTGAATCAAGAGTTGGTTGAAAAGACATAAAACAAGCCAAAGTCTGACAATCTCAAACAAGAAGAAAAGAATTACAAGATACAGGTAAGAAAATTATGAGATGGTTATATGTGCCTTTATTAAAAAATTTTTTTTAATCTATTTGAAATTGTCACCTTTTTAGAAAATAAAAATTGCCAAAGTTTATTCAGTAAGTAATAGAAAACCTGAATGGATAAGTAGCTATAGAAATAATATTAAAAGTTTTTAGGGGCACCTCGGTGGCTCAGTCAACCGGCTTGGGCTCAGGTCTTGATCTCACTATTCATGAGTTCAAGCCCCTCATTGGGCTCTGTGTGGACAGCTCAGAGCCTGGAGCCTCCTTCGGATTCTCCTGTCTTCCTCTCTCTTTGCCCTACTCCACTTGTGCTCTGTCTCTCTCTTTCAAAAATAAATAAACATAACTAACTAAATAAATAAAAGTTTTTAAGCTCTACACTGAAAATGTAGATGGCAGAGCTAGATGGTTTTAAATGGACTTACATAACCTAAAAGAAACATGCTATTTATATTACTCCAGATCGTAAGTAAGGATGGGAAAATACCATTCCCAAAGAATTAAATACTGAAATTAATTGCACTGAACTTTGGGAAATTTACCGTCACATGGTCTTCTATCTCTCCATTGCTTCCCAGCAGCCACCTACTAGTATGTGCATGTGCACAAACTTGCACGAGCGCAGGCACACGCAGTGTCCTTGCTTAACGAGTTGATTCAGCCAAATGGATTTGGTTAAGGACCGTAGAACTCTGCTGTGAAACAAATGGAAGAAATAACAAGGCATTGTGGAAAGACCATGGTTTTTGTAGCTAGATACATTTAGGTTCACTTTTCAACTCAGCCACTTTCTAGCTGTGAAATCTTGGAATACTAATCATACATTTTAAAAGACCTATTTCATGTTTTAGACCAAAGACTCATATATTAGCATGATTTGTAAGGCCATTTTAATCATTTGCATCCATAGGGAACTGAGAAATATGCAAATCAGATATTCTTCAAATGAAATAGTTAGCTCAAGATCTCCCTCTTGCTTTGTCCTTTAGGCTTTTATTGTTGCATTTACCTCGGACATCATTCCTCGTTTAGTTTACTACTACGCCTACTCAAAGGATGCCGCTGCGCCCATGAAAGGATATGTCAATGACAGCCTGTCAACATTCCTGATAGCTGATTTTCCAAACCACACTGTGCCTTGGGAGAAACGAGATTTCACCACTTGCAGGTTCCCTCTTATATTCTTAGCTCTTAATTTTGCTTTTTAAATGCATTTTTTAAATTCTCCATTTTCTTCCTGTCTTATAATGTGAAGGATTTATTTGGGGCAATAAAAATCCCAGGTAAAGTGCATCAATTTTGGAATTCACTCATCATATGAATCTGATTTGGAAACATAGAATGTCCAAGAGTAAAAGAATATCATGGGTAAAGATAATATCAATTTTGAATTGTCTCTTATTATTTTAATTTATTGGGAAGAATTCCGACCAACAAATGCCTCTTGGTCCCAAAATGTAATATCTATAGACCATACAGCATGATCATATTATATATGCATTTAACCTACTTGAATTTAACTATGTATCCATAAAAAGAGGTAGAGTGGGAAAGGGAGAAATAATATGATAAGTTCATCACCCATCCCACTTAAATGGTTTCTTTCACACAGGAAGCATGAAATTAGATTTGTGAACATATTTCCACACTCAGCATCTCATGTACTGTGAGGAGCTTCTTACTCTATGACTTAAAGATTATATATAATAAATACATATGACATAAATGTATATACATGTATGCATGTATATATACACATATATACATAGACCACTTAAACCTTAAGCCAGCTACTTCTTCCGGATTCCAACAAAGAAACAGCAAAATCTTGATAGAGGAATAATAGTATACTGTGTAAGAGCATGGATATGTGTCAGTTTTCTTGATTTCATCACTTCCTAGTTGGACTAAATCTTTGAAGAACATCAATATCTAGCAAGTTTGTAGAAAACAGTGAGCTTCCAAGGTTGAGCACTAAGAAAAGTCCAGAAGAATAGTAAGAAAAACAAAAACAATGCACTGTCAAATAAGCCAAAAGAAAATAGAGTTTCAAAAAAATAGTCAACAACGTCAAGTCTTGTTGTCAAAAGATCAAAAAAGATGAGGATTAGCATGTTTCTTCAGTTTAATGATAGGAGACAGTGTGTTTCAGGGAAGTGGTGCATAGAACTGCATTAAAAGTAGGAAGAGTGGGAACGGGGAGACAGCATCATTTTGCTAACATTTTTAAGAAATATGACTTCGAAGGGCAGGAGAAAAGTTTCACTTGTGCCTTCTGCTACACCAAACTAAATATAAGTAACATGTGGCCTTGATTTTTACCTGTACCGAAAAGAAACATTTCGTAACAGCAGTTATCTTCCTATGACTTGACTTTTGTAGTTAATTAAGCGTGTCTCTTGGAGAAATAATAAGAATTTATGCTGGGTCTCTGTTTGAAACCATAGCTAATATTTTTTTGGCATTTACTTCTGTTTTTCAGGTACAGAGACTACAGATATCCACCTGACCATGACCAGAAATATTTTCATAATATGCAGTACTGGCATGTCCTTGCTGCCAAGATGACCTTCATCATCGTCATGGAAGTAAGCCTTTCTTAATTGTGTTCCAGTTAGTCTGTCTTCTCCCTTCAGGTTTCTAAAGGTGTCTGCTCAGCAGAAAATTAGCATTATCTCAATAAATTATTTTTAAGGAAGTATTTGTTGTCCTAAAAAGCAGCTTAGGGATATCTTCAGTACAATGAGTTGCCTGTTATTACCTACTATTTTTGAAGATACCAAGGTGACATAAAAAAAGAAAAAATATGGCATCTTCTCTCAAGGTCAATAAAAGGACAGAGAACTCACTGATCTTACTGAGTATCTATTATGTACTGATTCCAGACACTATAATAATAACCCTGTAAGTTAGACTTTATTAGTGACTCTTGAAAAATGAATCTCAGACTCAGCAGAATTAGCAGTGGGTTTAAAGATAATCAGCTAGGGGCACCTGAGTGGCTCAGTTGGTTAAATATCTGACTTCGGCTCTGGTCATGATCTTGCGGTCCGTGAGTTCGAGCCCTGGGTCAGGCTCTGTGCTGACAGCTCAGAGATCTCACAAGACAGTTTATTGTTATTGGACGATATTCATTTTTCTGGACACTTTGCTGGGCACTGTAAATCTGAAAACATACTTACCCTTCAAGCTGAGAAAATTTGCTTGTATGTATTTTTTTTCTTTTCTCTGTTCTGTCTTTCTGGAATTTCTATTACTCAGGTGTTATACTTCCTGTTATGAAATTCTTATTGTTTATTTTCTCTCCTATAAGTGATAGTCTCCTGTTTTTGTCTTTTGTTTTGTTCTTTCGTTCCTTCATTATTTCTCTTGCTTTTTAGTTCCCATTTTTCTGTTTCAGTCTTTTTCTTTCACGTTAGACTTTCTTACATAATTGATGATTCTTGCCAACCTGCTCATACTGTAGAGTGAATAAATGAGAGCTGATTATAAGCTTTGTGTGCATAGAGGAAGAATGTCACTTGGTGGGTTTCGCTGGTGATGAGTTGGTGAGGGGACCTTTTCATTTGAAACCTATAAAATTTGATATCTGCCATTCTGATTTCACAAACTGGTTACGGTCTGTGAAAAATCCTCTGAACTCTTTTCTGTTGAGCTATTTTATGGCTACCTGTGTTCAGAGAGCTGAGCAACACAGAAGAAGACTAGGGATCTTAGGATTCACTGAATGTCACTTAGTTGCCATGTGTTCAATGTGGGGCCACTTCTCCATCCTCCACTGTCTCTGGTGCTCCCGAGTTCACAGCTCTCTGTTTTGATTTCTGCTGAGAGTAAACTACTCATCTTTGCTGAGTTACTTGCTGCCAAGGTGAGGATGGAGAGAAGCAGTACCTGGGTGAAGGTAGGAGAGAGGTCCTGAAAATTCACCTGCTCCTACTTATACCATATTTTGGCTAATCCTCTTGTTTTCAGCTCCACCCCCATGTATGCTTTCCAAGTCCTTAGGACCATCTTTCTTGAGCTTTATTGAAGATCTAAAATAAAGTTGGCTTTTGTCTTGTTGGTTTTTACCATCATCATATCACCAGTTGCAAGTTTAAGTCCCAGCTGTCTTCAATCTCTGGAGTTTGTTACTACTGTTTCCTCCTCCTCCTCCTCCTCTTCTCCTCCTCCACCTCCTCCTCCTCCTCCTCCTCCTCTTCTCCTCCTCCTCCTCCTTCTTCTCCTCCTCCTCCTCCTCCTCCTTCTTCTCCTCCTCCTTCTTCTTCTTCTCCTCCTCCTTCTTCTTCTTCTTCTCCTCCTTCTTCTTCTTCTCCTCCTTCTCCTTCTCCTTCTCCTCCTTCTTCTTCTCCTTCTCCTCCTTCTTCTTCTCCTTCTCCTCCTTCTTCTTCTCCTCCTCCTCCTCCTCCTCCTCCTCCTCCTCTCCTCCTCCTCCTCCTCCTCCTCCTCCTCCTCCTCCTCCTCCTCCTCCTCCTCCTCCTCCTCCTCCTCCTCCTCCTCCTCCTCCTCCTCCTCCTCCTCCTCCTCCTCCTCCTCCTCCTCCTCCTCCTCCTCCTCCTCCTCCTCCTCCTCCTCCTCCTCCTCCTCCTCCTCCTCCTCCTCCTCCTCCTCCTCCTCCTCCTCCTCCTCCTCCTCCTCCTCCTCCTCCTCCTCCTCCTCCTCCTCCTCCTCCTCCTCCTCCTCCTCCTCCTCCTCCTCCTCCTCCTCCTCCTCCTCCTCCTCCTCCTCCTCCTCCTCCTCCTCCTCCTCCTCCTCCTCCTCCTCCTCCTCCTCCTCCTCCTCCTCCTCCTCCTCCTCCTCCTCCTCCTCCTCCTCCTCCTCCTCCTCCTCCTCCTCCTCCTCCTCCTCCTCCTCCTCCTCCTCCTCCTCCTCCTCCTCCTCCTCCTCCTCCTCCTCCTCCTCCTCCTCCTCCTCCTCCTCCTCCTCCTCCTCCTCCTCCTCCTCCTCCTCCTCCTCCTCCTTCTCCTTCTCTCTCCTTCTCCTTCTTCTTCTTCTTTCTTCTTTCTTCTTCTTCTTTCTTCTTCTTCTTTCTTCAACTCTGTGAGTTATACCATTTTTAAAAATTCCTTTACAAATATTTTATTGGGTTTTCAGGAGTGAGTGAGCACAGATATAAAAAGTATATTCAATAACCAAGATCAACTGAAAGGTCTGTAATTACACATTTTAGTATGTATTTATTTGCTTAATGTTTGTCTTTCTGGGACAAGGACCATATCTTTTGGCTTTTCCTCATACTTCTGTGCTGAGCACAGTTTATTGAATGATTGAAGCGGTTTGTAAGAATTTCCTGCTGAACAGTTGACAATTCTAATAGTGTCCTCGATTTTCTTTTGTTTTTCCTCCAGCATGTTGTGTTTTTAGTTAAATTTTTGTTGGCCTGGATGATTCCTGATGTTCCAAAAGATGTTCTGGAGAGAATCAAGCGAGAGAAGTTAATGACTATCAAGATTCTCCATGACTTTGAGCTTAACAAATTAAAAGAAAACTTGAGAGCTAATTCAAGTGAACTTGCCAAAGAAGTCCTAATTCAGGAAAACAAAGCACAACTGGCTAAATCAGCAGTCTAATCAACATAATGAACAAGCCACTAGATGCCTGTTAGGCTTCACAATCTCCCCTGGGTTTTGGGCCAGAGGCCAGAAGCCACATATCAGTTTCACCCTGCCTCCTCCTCCTTCTTTTTTAATTCTGAGTTTTCTGTACACTTTTACAGAGGCCAGCTTTGTGAGGTTGGAAGAATACCACTTGTCTGCTTCATTGACTGAGCCCTCCCCAGATATTGTTTTCTGGAGTTCTAGAAATGATTGTTAAAAGTGCATATCGAATCAGAATAGTGAAAAATCATGGAATGTTGCAGTTTAGAATGAAACACTGGACTTGGGCTGTCCCATCATGTTCCAGTGTGTCTGCACATTTTCATGGTCTTCTACTGGTGGTTTTATAACTTCTCCCCATCAAGAAAAATGTTGAAACGTGGAGAAAAGAAGTGAAGAAGCCTATTGAGCCGTATATATCCTGCCATCTTAGACCATGTGAATGAAAACCCCAAATCAGATGACTTAAGAAAACTCACATATTAAAAATGTTAAGTAAATATCATGGCAAGGGTTTGTTCCTGAAATCACCCTGAACAACTTAAGCTTCCATCAGAATCCCAGAGAGACCTTCCAGGTCAATACAGAATTGGTTTTTCAAGAGACTGAACATTTGGGTTTCAACAAAAGTCTAACATCTCAGTACTTTTAAGACAACGTTTTGGTAACAGCAATTTCAAGGCTGGATTGTCTTATCTGGAAAACAGCATTAAGAAGTTGTTAGGTTGCTTCAGTTCTTCAAGTAAATGAAAGATATTGTAGAGAAGTCAATGTGTCTTCTTAGTTAACAAACACAAGACAATGAATATTGATTAATTTGTTGACCTTAATCTAAAAAAATCGTTGAATTACTTTTAAAAATCATTTTTCTTCTACCATGCATATTTTGCATCATGAAGCCTGTTTGAGCATAAGCTCTTTGTGTAAGTTAGGTACAAGTTGTTTATGAAATTTGATCTCTCTCTTTAAAGCAATCTCGAATCTTCTAATGGGTTTATACTGTTTCCAATTGATGCATCACTCCATACAGTGCTCAGTGCCTTGTCCCTATGCCTTTGACACACAAGAAGTGGTTGTGCTGTTTATCTGACGTGATGTAACATCTCAAATGTTAGCTTGTTTAGTGAAATTGTCGATTTAACATCAGTCACGGAGTTTAACACCAAAAGTAGATCAACCAAGTAAGAAGGGGGTGATGGATTTTACAGCCAAGTGAAAATAAGTTAATTGAATGATTTCTCTCATATGTAGGCCTCTGGTACAGGTACACCTTTTCTTTTTTCTCTTAAAAAATACTTCATACATATTTTTGACACTATAGACTGGGAGATACAGTTTAGTCATATAGTATTTGCATCTGTAGCTTCAAATTACATTTCGGTTTGAAAAGAATGTTGTTTTTTTAAGTTGTATACAAAAGAAGAAGCTTTATCACAAGATTTTTTTAAGTAGTGTTTCATTATTTGATACTAATACATTTTTGTAGAATTGCCAATTAAGTATATGGCAGCTGGTATTAATTAAGGGTCAGTATTAAACATTTGGAAGAGAGGATTAGGAATTTTATAAAACCATGAGACAGTTACCCCCAAATTGGCAGTAATGTTTTGTCATCCACTAGGTAGATTTTATAAAACATTTTTGTGTAATTTTAAATGATCTCATTATTGAAAAAATGATGTCATGTGAGGAGGAGATGTATTTTTTGCTTAACACCAGTCAATGTTACTATGAAAGAAGCCACAGATGCAATATCTTTGATTTGTTGAATCAAACTCTATGTTACTACAGTGTTGTCCCTTGTGCACAGCTGATATGTATTGCTTTCTTCCTAGGTGCTAATAAAAATAAGGAAGAGTGTGGAACTTGGTTTCCTGGATATAAGTTTTAGTTTGTATAGCTTAACAGTATTTATAGATCTAGGGTGTTAAGATAAATAAAGACAAATGTAACTCGCAAAATTATCTGTACACTGTAATCTTAAAACAGAATCAACTCAAGTGTTGGGTTTCTAGAATGTATGGAGAAACTAGTAAGAGAGGAAATCATTTGAAGACAAGTAAATAGTTCCAGTGGTTGGTAGAACCATTGTGTTATTAACGGAGGGCCCAATTAAGAGACTACCAAGTGTAGGTTGAGATTTATCAGCATGGCTGATGTTTTTATCAATCGATCAAACCCAAACTTTTTTTTTTCAGAAATGCTCCAGGAAACGTTTATTTTATTTGAAATAATTTTAAGTGCAAAAGCCAAAAAATTACATAACCCTTTCCAAATGTCATCACTAATCCTTGCCTTCATTGGTTTTTCTTTGCACACAAGAAGCAAAATCCACCTCAAAACATTTATTTTAGAGGAATCCATCAGAAGGGAGTATCTTAATTAGATGGGCTGCTGTCTTATTTTTCTGCATCTCGTGATTCCTCCTGGCTTTAAAATTCTTCTTTCAACTAAGCCATGAAGCAGCTTATTAAGGAGAATATGGAAAGAAGATGATAATGAAAAGGAGGGGCAGAGGAAGGAGATAAAGTGTTCTCTCCTTATGAAGCTGTGCTTGCTTCCATGGGGAGAGGTGCCGTGAGGCAGCCTGGTGCAGCTGTGGGTAGTGAGGGGAATGTATCACCTAAGGCATCTCTGTGAGGATGAGAGGAAAGTCCAAGAAGTTTCAAGTTGAAAACTACCAGGTGTCGAGAGTGAAAATTGGATTCTAAACTGATTGTGTAGCCTCAGTTGCTATGGGTAGCACTGGATCTCTGTTGATGGATACCGGTTGAGGGTGAAGAGTTTGTATCACTCCTTCAAAAGGGGAATCTATATGTTTTGAAAGATCCTCTCTATAATAGTTGGTTTAAAAAATTTTTAATGTTTATTTATTTTTGAGAGAGAGAGACAGAGCGCAAGTAGGAGAGGGGCAGAGAGAGGGAGACACAGAATTCAAAGCAGGCTCCAGGCTCAGATCTGTCAGCACAGAGCCCGATGTAGGACCCAAACCACAAACCATGAGATCATGACCTGAGCTGAAGTCAGGCACCCAACCAAGTGAGCCGCCCAGGCACCTCAATAGTTGTTTTTAATTAGCAATAGTTATTATGTTATCAAAGAATGTTAATAGGGAACATAGCGTTGCCAGAAGTACCATTGACTAGGCTTTGAAGTCTGACACTGTGATGGACTCTAACTATGACGTTATTCTTTTTCTAGACAGATTTTTACTCTTCTGCTTTATGTATGATTATTCAAGTATGTCAGCTCTGCCAGCATTATGTAAAAATTTCATAAGAATATTAAAAAGAATAGCATGGTTCAAAGTATATGAGATACCTGCTTCCATCCCCCCCTTCCCCTTACATTGGAATAGCATATTTTCCCTGTGAGTGATTCTGGGCCATGGTGTTAACCAAGAAAATGAATACTCCTTTTTCTTTTCTTTTGTCCACTTTATTCCCTCCCCCGAGGAGGTGGGTATGGAGGTATGCACAAAAAGTTGCTCTTAAGTAACATGTATGTAAATCTCAAGAGATTCAAACTCATGCAGTGAATAAATACTTTGACATGAATTCAATTTATTCTTCCAGTAAAACGTTGATATGATTCTTCCGAATTTGAGTGCCCTAAGAGATTTTCAAGCCTCATTTATGTTTAGAAACATTAAAATGCATTACATGAAAAATGTTTATTTCACAAAATTCCATCTTTGTCGCATTTAGAGGTGCAGATTTCTTAAAAGTAAGAGGCTGTATGGTCCAGAAAATTTGGAAAAGGTGGTACTTTTGTTGTTTGGTCTCTTTATTTTTTTTTCTCCTTTGGGAGGTGATAAAGGTGAATAGAAAGACCCAAGGAGAAAGTAGAGTATATTGAGATATATTCTGAATATTTCCTAGCCTCATCTTTCTGAAAACACACACACACACACACACACACGCAAAACCTACAGCTACGTGCATGGGAATTATCTGGACTATTTGCGTGAAATGCATATCCCCGAGCTCTAGGAACACAGTCTTTGAGGAATGATCTTTCAAAAATATCTCCCTGGGGCGCCTGGGTGGCTTAGTCGGTTAAGCGTCCGACTTTTCCTTAGGTCATGATCTCGCGGTTCGTGGTTTCGAGCCCCGCGTAGGGCTCTGTGCTGACTGCCAGCTCAGAGCCTGGAACCTGTTTCAGAGTCTGTGACTCCCTCTCTCTCTGACCTTCTCCTGCTCACGCTGTCTCTCTCTCTCTCTCTCTGTCTCTCTCCCCCTCTCCTAGAAATAAATAAAACATTAAAAAATTTTTAAAAAAATAAAAAATAAAAATATCTCCCAGCGGTACCTGGTGGCTCAGTCAGTTAAGTGACTGACTCTTGATTTCTGCCCAGGTTAAGATCTCCCAGTGGTGAGATCGAGGTCTGCAATGGGCTCTGCGATGGGCCTGAGGCCTACTTGAGATTCTCTCTCTCCTTCTGCCCCACCCCTGCTCACATGTGTTCTCTCTCAAAAAAATTTTTTTAATTAAAAATAATCTCCTAAGTTATGGTGGGTATAAGAATTGAGAATTTCTTAAGAATGCCAAATTCCTAGCTGAAAGCATTTTTTTTTTTTTTTGTAATAACTCTCAGACATATCATTCCAACCATCAGGGAAGCATGTCAGGGCACGTGGACTCAGGATTTCCAAGTTTGTAGCTGTTCTAGTTCTGCGGTGTGCAGAGGTAACTGAAATCTGATACCCTAAGAGCCCTAGACCTGTAGTTTCTATTTATTTAAGAGAGAGAGAGAGAGTAAAAGAGATGTATTTGCTTTTACTAACATATTCAAGAAAATAAAAGTGCATGCTGGCCAGAGATAAGGATGAATACATCATATTCTATGTGTGAAAGACCTATTCTAGGTTGAAAGAATAAACAGATTTTCAGGATTTAATCAGGTCAGCAAAACCGTGAATATTGTAGAATAATGGGTTTCTTATAGTAAGTAGGCCTTTGAAACTGGAAGAAATTGGGAAGTCATGGTCTGGGAGGGAGGTTTGGAAGCTCAGAGAAAGGCACCATTCATCTCTTCTGAAACATACTGCCGTCCGTGGCTGGAAAATTGGAGCACATATGGATATTCAAGAAAGGAAGTGAGATGAGGCAGGAAGGCTTATGAAGAAGTTTCTGGAATGCCGTTGCTTCTGTATAGCTACTTACTTCTGTGAGTTTGCAGCCAAGATTCGCTGCTGGTCAGGCAGATCTGGACACAAAGTGCAAAAGAGTGAGGACAAGCTAGAGCCAACTGGAGCCCTATCTGAGTGTCCTTCATATATTTGTCTGCAAAGATCACCACAGAATTAGCTGCTGCTTCCTTCGCTTATGTTTGCCTCTTTTGCAAACAGAACCTGACACCATGTAAGGGAAAAAAACCAAAAAATAAAAAAAAGAAATCTGAGAAATACAGCTCCAGCTTGACCAAACTACCATACAAACAAAATTTTACAAAATTAATAAAACTATTGATCATTTGAGAAGTGTAATTAAAGAATAGAGCCACTTTGCCTTCATAAAATGTGGTATTCAATAACTAAGAATAAGAATCTCTTTTCAAAAACAATCTACATGTTTACAAAATCTGACCAAATACAAGGACATTAAAATAAGAAACTTAGAAAATTTCAATCAAAAGGTAATTTTCTCTGTCTAGGATAAAGTGAAACTGGAAAACTATAATAAGATAACTAGAAAATTTTGTGACAGGTTTTCAAATGACTTATGGATACAAAAATTTATCAAAATAGATTTTAGAAGATAATTCTGATTATATGGAATGAAAAATACAGTGCAGCTCACATTTTGTGAGTACACTAAATATTTCTTGTGGATTCCTTTTTTTTTTTAAGTTTATTTTAAGAGAGAGCAAGAGAGCTCATACAAGCAGGGGAGGGACAGAGAGGAGAGACAGAATCCCAAGCAGGCTTCCAGCCGTCAGCACAGAGCCATATGTAGGGCTCCAACTCACAAACTGTGAGATCATGACCTGAATGAAGATCAAGAGTCTGACGCTGAACTCAGTGAGCCGCCCAAGTGACCCGCTTCCTTTGTTTTTTTAAGTTTATTTTTGAGAAAGAGAGAGCGTGGGGCGGGGGTCTCTGCAGGGAGTGGAGGAGGGGCAGAGAGATGGAGAGAAAGAGAATCCGAAGTAGGCTCAGCACTGTCAGCCCAGAACCCAAGGCAGGCTTCTGTCCCAGGAACCAAGAGATTATGATGCTTAACGACTGAGCCACCCAGGCGCCCCCGTTTTGTCAGCTGCTTTTAGGGGAAATGTATAGC